ACTTGGGGCATGATGATGGGGAAAAACAAAATACGTGGCCTAGCTAACTAATGAATAAATATTTGCTGTATGTAAATTTTTGCGTAAGATCAAGAACACTTTGGGTACTTAAATATTTGAATTTTTTTTTCCAAAAGCTTTAATAAATTATTTCAAAATTTACTGATATTTGAATTGGAATATGCAAAAAGAAAAATGTTTCTATCTTAAGAACTTAAAATGATTCTACTGATTAAACTAAATATAGTACCCTATGGTTTTCACACAGTAAAAAATAAATGCCGAACAGTTTCATGTTTTTCATTACAAATGCAACATAACACAGTGTCATGTTTGTTCATATGCAAAGCAGTCAATGTGTATTTTTCTCAGAAAAGTTAAAATGAGTGTAATATTTGCTTATGTCAAAATTATTTATAAATGTAGGGTCTGTAAGCTCTGTCTTAGTTCAAGACACTTGCCATTTTTATTACTTAGTAAACGTGGTCTTAAATACTTTTCTTTTCTTTCTACTACTATAAGGGATGGCATACATATTATGCATATAGCTTGATGTACGTGAACACACTTCTTATTGAATGTGTGCATCCTATAAAACAGTGTGCAATTTCCCAAAATTTTGAGAATCCCACACAAATCTTTGTCTAGTGGGTGAGGTGCATAAAGGTTGAATGTGGATGTTCTGTAATGCATCTGATGTAAAGAACCTGCAACATTAGTTCTGTCCAGCACTGCAGAGGGTAGTTGATTCAATGTAGAAACACTTTTTAGTTTCGGATATAATAGAATTTTAATTTTTCCACTATTTAAAATATTAAGTATTTCATCTGATGGCTGTGACTTTCAGATAGACTGGCATTTCAATTTCAGCAGACTGGATGCCTAGTGTTTTTCCACTTGTCTTGGCACATTGCTCGAACATTGATATCTTAGTGCTTGTTTGAAAAGACCAAGTACATGGAAGACCATTATTAATACATCTAATGACTTCTCTGGAATGTCTGATTAGATAATAGTTCAAATCTCTACCTTCTTTCAATTACTCTAAAATAATTTAATGGTGAATTAGAGGTGTGTCTTGGAGTTCTGTATCGGGGCAGTTTTATATCTGTAGTTGCATTACTGTAAAGACATGGAGTTTTTTCATTAAATATTGGCTTCAGCATGATCTTGTGATAGAATTTGGAGTAAACCTTAACCTTAACTGGCACCTCCTTCAGTCTTCCTTTATCAAATCAGCCACAGCATATTTTATAGTGCTTTTCTCTAGCTGTATGATAGAAAATCTGAGTTTATTGTAGTTATTTGAATACATCTATGCCTTATGACAAACAACATCCACTTTACAAACCACTAAGTGGATGTCTGACATCTTTTAAACATTGTTCTTCCTTTTTGCAATGTGCCCTCAAAGCAGCTATAAGTTTTTCTCTGTGAACTGTTTTTTTTTTAAATCCAAGATCTTTTTTTTAATATTTTATTTACAATATTTCCTCATTCAGCATGGGCTTGGCACCTGGAACTGACCTCGTAACTATTTTGTTCTTGTTATAGTTTTCATGCTATAACTTTTAAATTAGTAAACGAATGTTAACAAAATATGGCAGATGATCAGTCAACATTA